ATTATTAGGCTCTGTGTGGAGTAAGGAAACTTGCCCAAGGTTTCGCCCTCTGCCTGGAATTGAACTCAGGTCTCTCGCTTGCAAAGCGAGTGCTCTAACCACTGAGCTACAGGACTCCACATATCGATAGCGATTAATTCTGTATGGATTGGTCTACCATCACAGTGGAAAGCTTTGGGAGCTTTAGATGCCAAATTTCCTAGTTCTTTCAAGCCATACGACACTTGCCATGTCTTGAATGACTCATAGACTGTATTCCCCAAATATTATTTTCTGAAAGAAATTATCTAATTTGCATTTGAATGAATTGACACTATCTGCTTCCACCATCTCCCTCGGGAGTTTGTTTACAGTATGTTCCGTGAAGCGCTTTGAGACGTTTCAACGATGTGATAAGGCGCTATATCAAATGCAAGCATTATTATTAATATTATTATCTGTACAGGGTCTGGAGATGGGTACAAGTTCAGCACCAGATAAAACACAAACTCAGAGCACAGTCGTTGGTTAACTCTTTAAGAGTAAATAGATAATTAACTGGGAACCAACGCAAGTATAAAAAGAACCATGTAATGATTCTCTATCCACAATACTGGCGTATTAAGTAAATCTTTTATTCTCTGCTCCCCAGACACTCCAAATTGAATATCATCCAGTTGTTCTCCGGGAATCCCTTTTTATACTAGTTATACTAGTTAATTGTCTATTTACTCTTAAAGGGATATCCAACAAATAGCAATCCTGAGATAGGCTCTCTTGTTATTGTTGTTGTTGTATGTCCTGTAATATATTCGAGCTGTTTGGATGTAGATAGAAATGTTTAATAACCAACAGACGAACCTTTGCAGAAATATCAGAACCCGAGTCTGAACTTCAGCAGCTGGTCTCCACAAGTAATACGAGACCCGGTGCTCAGAACCTGTTGCTGGGCGGTAAACTCTACGGCATCTGTAAACACTACTGTACCAATAAAGCATTAGTAAATATTGCTTTGTTAGTAAATGGAGATACGTTGGTAAATGCAACGTTAAGGCAAACTACCTTGTTATGTAGTGAATGAGGTCATCCAAGCTGTAACCTCTCACCAGTTATGTGTGTCCCAGGGCAGTGAGCGCCGTAGCCACTATGGAGACAGGGATAAGATGGATGGAGAGGCATTGGTGCCCATAAAGGGGGGAGGGCGGGAGTGGCAGTTCCACCCTAAATTCTATGCTAAGTAATGCCACCTGTTATGTCGACTGTTTTGTGTTTCGCCCACAAAGCATACAGTCAATTCACTTTACAGTATATCCTGTGAAGCGCTTTGGAGAAGTCTCGAAGCTGTGATAAGGCTGTGATATCAAATGCAAGGATTATTATTATTATCATCATCGCAGGACACACCGACAGCCGTGTCCCTATTATAAAGGACAAGCTCAGGCCAACCATGTCAGATACATGGCTATCAAAACCCCTGGGTTCTGTCCTGTGATATACACGATGAGATTCTACCGGGTTTCGACAAGCCCCAACGAGAAATAATTGGCTGATCGGCATGAATCTTCTTTTTATTCCGTTTTTCCGACTTTTGAGTAATAGACATAATAAATGAACATAATAATAAATAAGTTGGTCACTCAATTTATTAATCCAGTGATGTCCATTAGTAATAGAAAAGCTCAGTATATACTGATTGTCGTAAGTATGTAGTTATATATACATTAATTTAGTTCTATAGACACTGGTGGGCAAGGGCAAAAATAGCGGGAGCATAGACAATCACTGTGCTCAGCTTTCATAATAATAATAATCCTTGCATTTGATACGGCGCCTCATCACGTTTTCAAGACGTCTCAAAGCGCTTCACAGCATATACTGCAAAGTGAATTGACTGTATATGTTGTGGGCGAAATGAGGCAGCCAATTGCACACAGCAGCGTCCCCACAAACAGTGGTGGATTGAGTGGATGGCTTGGCTTGATGGCTTGGTTTGATGAGTCAACCTCCCGCCTTCTGTTCCATAATTGCTCTGATTCCTACAAGTCACTGTGTTCGCCTCTGTACTGTCTCAGGTCTGTCCCCGTCTTTCCCATCACAATAACACAGAGATTGCTTAGGTGCCTGGTTTCAAAGAGACACATCTGTGTTTCACGTGTTTAGGGGGAGGGGAGGGGAGCATCCGAGCTTAGGACCAGACGCTCAAGAGACGATAGTGTTGTTGGTCAAGATGTGCCTGGTTTAAAAGAGTGAAAAAGAAATCCAATTACAACTGGGACAAGGCTCACAAAATAAGATGAAGAGAAGGATGGTGGCGTCACCTCTGGATAGACAGTTCCTGGTTGATTCTCCCCTCCCCTAATTCAGAGGGAGTTCGGTTGTCTCCCAGTCCAGCGCTGAGTGCCTTTACACCGCAGGTCATTCGGGAGAGCTCGAATTTCTGCATTCCCAGGGGAAGGGGAGGGCCCGTACACACAAGGCCACGGCAGTCACTGCTGTACTCAGACCCTCTCGTTTCAAAATACGGTTATTTTCCTGCTGCGGTTCTCTGCCGCTCTCCGTCGTTGACAACCCACGAGGGTTCCTGGCGCTTTCTACGCCAGGAGCCATTACGACACGAAGCGTGTCCCCAAATCGCTGACGCAGGTAACCGGCGTGAAAGTACGCTGCAGTCAAAGGTCGGCCAGGAATCGCGTGCAAGGTGGCGGGAGACACCACCCCCACCCCCCCCGTGAAGCCGGGCCGTACTTACCTCTCCAGGTAGGAGCCGGTCTTCCTCCTGGGGCAGCTGTGGGCAGCCTCGCCGGCGTCGGGGAACCATTGGATCGACGTATCGACGCCCACACCGATGTGCCCTTCAGCCCCCGAGGAAATGGGCATCTCACCAACTGGTTAAACAGAAACGCAGGAACCTCCCAACAGTTCAAACAGCGAGCGGCACCGTTCCAGCCGGGTGACCGGGAGTCAGAGAGAGCCGCGGTCAGGGTAGTCCGCCCACGGGCAGCCGAGAACCCCCAGCCTTTACTCCAGTTTGTTACCGTTACCCCGGCAGCAGCTTCCAGATCAATCAGTTACAGCGGAGCTCGTGACAAACACAGCACTGCCAAACATATTAGCCAAACACTACATCCCTTCCCCACTCACCCCACCACAAAACTAACACTCAGCTCAGTGAAGATAATCCAGGCCGTACTCAATCAGGTTTGCTCTGGCGATTGCAATAAACCCTGGCACTTTCTCTCCGTGCATTCATCGCCGTAGGTCATTTGGGAACGCCCGAGAATTAGATTGATGGCTGGAATAATCTGCAGACGTTCACTGGGAAGGGAATACGCCGTGAGGAATGTCGGATTGGTCGCGCAGGGTAGTGAAGAGGCCATCCTTCAGCTGGGAGGGAGGTCGAACAGACTGACACCACACACACTGTCTCACAGTGAACCACACACACACACACTGTCTCACAGTGAACCACACACACACATTGTCTCACACTGAACCACACACACACACTGTCTCACAGTGAACCACACATACACACACTGTCTCACAGTGAACCACACACACACATTGTCTCACAGTGAACCACACACACACATTGTCTCACAGTGAACCACACATACACACACTGTCTCACAGTGAACCACACACACACATTGTCTCACAGTGAACCACACACACATACTGTCTCACAGTGAACCACACACACACATTGTCTCACAGTGAACCACACATACACACACTGTCTCACAGTGAACCACACACACTCTCAGTGAACCACACACACACTGTCTCAGTGAGTCACACACACACACAGTCTCACAGTGAGTCACACACACACTGTCTCACAGTGAACCACACACACACTGTCTCACAGTGAGCCACACACACACAGTCTCACAGTGAGTCACACACACACAGTCTCACAGTGAGTCACACACACACTGTCTCACAGTGAGTCACACACACACTGTCTCACAGTGAGTCACACACACACTGTCTCAGTGAGTCACACACACACTGTCTCACAGTGAGTCACACACACACTGTCTCACAGTGAGTCACACACACACACACTGTCAGTGAGCCACACACACACAGTCTCACAGTGAACCACACACACACACTGTCTCACAATCAAAAAGGAAGGTGATGATGGGAAGCCAGTGGAGTCTGGCGAGGATGCGGATGATAGGGTCACGGAGCCTGGTGCGGGAGAGAACACGGGCTGCAGAGTTCTGGATGATCTGCAGCCTATGAAGGGAGGAGTTGGGAAGGCCGACAAGCAGGGAGTTTGCGTAGTCGAGCCTGGATGGGATGAAAGCGTGTATCAGGCTTTCTGCGGTGTGAGACAGTGGCGGAGCCGGGTGATGTTGCGGAGGTGGGGAAGGCAGAGCGAGACATGGCACGGATGTGGAGTAGAAAGGATAGTTGAGGGTTAAACAAGATGCCAAAGTTCTGGACCTGCTCAGTGAGGTGGAGTGTGCATCCGTGGGTGGTGATGCTGTCAGCGCCTGAGGTGTGGAGGCACTGACGGGAGCCACTCAGGAGGGCCTCGGTCTTGTTGATGTTCCAACTAAAGAAAGTTATCTCTCATCCAGGACTTGATGTCTGACAGACATTCTGTCAGGACAGCAGTGGTCCTGGAGTCAAGAGTGGAGGCAGAGAGATACAGTTGGGTGACATTCACATACAGGTGGAAGTTGATCCCATGTCACCAAGAGGGAGCATATAGATGTTGAAGAGGAGGGGACCAAGGACAGAGCCCTGAGGAACGCCACACGAGACGGTACGGGGGCTGGAGGAGAAGCTGTTTGTAGAGATGAAGTGGAGGCGGGGTGAGAGGTACGATCTGAACCATCCCAGAACAGAACCATGAAGGTTGAGGTGAGAGAAGAGGCCATGGAGGAGGATAGAGTGATCACACAGGCAAACTCACAAATTAACTAGAGTTGTTGCAGTTCAAAGTAGAAAAAACAAGCATCTGTTAAAGTACATTAACAAAAAAATCCACACATGAAAGCAGGTCAAGTTTTCTTTGATCCATTTAATAAGTGTCCAATAATTCAAAGTATGTGTAAACCTTTCAGTTCCAATGTACTGCATTTCACTTCTTATTGGCAACTAATGCAAAAAAAAGCACGACTTAATTTGTAATCTTCATCTCAGAAGTATTCATTTGAAGAGACATTTATTTAAGAGAAAATTTAAAAAGTGATTGGCAGCTTGTCTTAATAATAATCCTTGCATTTGATATAACACCTTATCGCATCTTCAAGACATCTCAAAGTGCTTCACAGAATATGCTGTAAAGTGAATTAAACATAAAGTATATTTGTGGGTGAAATTTTGTCTTGACTAAAGGCAGAAAGCACGATTGTAGTAATAGACTGGGTCCCTCAATAACAGTGCTGAATAAGGACATGGGCCGTTGTTCTGAATAAATAAATATGAAAGTGTGTTGTTATATAAAAAAATAAACTAAACTGATTTTGCTATGTCTGTTTAATGAATGCTCCTGAAATAGACAAAAGAAATTTCTGCAGCTTCAATATAGTCTTTATAGTGTAGATCTATAAAGATCTCTCAGATAAAAGTTTTCATAGTTTCCACAATTTTGATTCAAGCGAATCATAAACCACATAGAAACATATTTACTCAGATTTAGGATTATTTTATCATGCACGATATTGCACAGTTATGTTTTCAAAATGAAGCTGGAAACTAAATAAATCTTTTACTTTTTAGCACTTTTTTAAAAAAAAGATGTAATTACACAAAATTCAGTGCACACAGCATCAGGTTCGCTACCCATCCGTCGCACAAGAAAGTAACATTCATAGAAGCATTTATTCCCACTGCACTTTACAAGTAGACAACAATGAATGAATGTATGGCTTAGTTAACCATTGCAAAAGGAATTCCCTGAGAAGCCATTCCTTACAAAAACAAATAGGGAAGCTCTCCGTGCCCACCTTTTTTTCCACTTACAAGATGGTGTGTGCCGTGTCGATTGGTTCTGAAGCTCTCATTCGCGTCTCAGAAGAAACACAAGTGTTTTGAAGTGAGCAAATAAGCCTTTCTCTGTGCTCCAGCACAAGCTGAAAGACCCATTCCATAATCCTTACACTGGGCGACACTAGGGTGGCTCGCTGCCTGGAGCTTCTCAGAGTCCAGTGGTACTAAGTGTCTCTCGATCGGCAGCTTCCTTTCAACGTTGAACATTCCATGGATTCTCACACGAGGCCCGGTCCAAAAGATCAACCTAGAAAGAGAAGACATTACATTGTTACAGACACTGTTCCACCATCATCTTCGTGAAACCTGTTGTACACAGACCTATAAAAAAGGCAAAACTATCTACATCGTGGCCAGGCACCAGTCAGCGAGTTCCCCATCAGCGGTCGTTGAGGAACCTGTTATTCCCAAGGGAGGATGAACGTAGGAACATGTTTGACTCTCAGAGAAAGCTGCACTTTCAATCCCGCTGCTCTGTCTTATTCCATAAACTTCCACCTGTCTACTTTGCTCACAAAATACACCGTCAATCCACTTTAGAGTATGCAACAGCTTGCATTTATATAGTGTCCCTCATGGAGGGTAGTGTCCCAGGGCGATTGTCAGTGGAGCAGCACAATGCCGAGTTGGGGGTAGGGGAAGGTGACCGTAGGTGCGGTCGAATAGGAAGGTCTTCAGGCTCGATCTGAAGATGGGGAAGGAAGGGGCAAGGCGGAGGGATAGAGGAAGAGTGTTCCAGAGTTTTGGGGCGCAGTGGCTGAAAGCGTGGCCACCGATGGCGGAACAGAGGGCACAAGGGACATGCAGAAGGATGGAGCCAGTCGAACGGAGGCAGCAGGTAGTGTGTTGAGGGGTGGGGGGGTAAGAAGTCTTATACAGCGCCTTTCAAGTTGGGAGGACGTCCCCAGGGAGCACAGCATGAAATGCGTATCAGCATTGCCACCTCCTGCTCATAGCTCAGAGCCAAATCCCCACCCATTGAGCAATGGTTCCACTAGTTCCACCACCACAAGTGCAGAGCTTCATCGGTAGCTGTTTACCTCTCTATACACCACTCTCCGTACCAATTAAAGTAATTGCCAAGCATTGGATCCAATGGCTTACCGTTGGCCAGCAGTTGTTACTGTTAATTCCAGGTTTACTGGTTTAGATCCTACTGGAAGGATCCAAGCCAGAAAAACTGAAATTAACTTCCGGTAGAATTCCGTCGGGGGAAAAACATTCAGCTTGAGTAAAGCCTCTTCATACAGGTTTACAGCGTGCGGTGGATAATAATGCTTGTATTTGATAGTGTTTATAATGTTGAAATGTCACACAGTGCTTCACATTTACAATAATTACTGCCAAGTACAACAGAAAAGACTTATGGCTCAGGTCAGGGCATATGGGGTCAATGGGAAGAATAGCAGAATGGATACAGAAGTGGCAGAAAACAAAGAGTAAGGGTTAAAGATAATTATTACAATTGGATAGATGTGGTGATTGATTCTCAGGGACCTGTTCTGGGGCCACTATGTCTCACCTTGTATATAAATTATTTGGATCTAGGAATAGAGGGAGCAATCTCAAAGTTTGCAGAGGATACAAAAGTAGGGGAATTAGTAAATACTAAGGAGGATCAAAATAAAACACGGGTTGATACTGATAGGAAGGCTGAAGGGGCAGACATGTGGCAGATGTAGTTCAATGAAAAAAAGTGTACGGTAGATCATTTCAGGAGGATAAACATAGAAAAAAAAACTACAGCTTAAAAGGGATAGAAGAACAGAGGGATCCAGGAGTGCACTGAAGGCAGTGACCCAGGTGGGTAAGGCCTTTGAAAAAGTCAACGGGACTTATAGCCAGAGGATTAGGATACAAGGAGAAATCTGTACAAAACAATAGTCAGACTGCAGTTGGAATGCTGTGTGCAGTTTTAGGCTCTTCAGTATAGGAAAGAAGCGGAGGTGGAAGTGGCACAGAGGACTGGTAATGTGATGGTACAGCATGTTGCCTGGAGTGAAAAAATATAGTTCTAGGGAAAGGCTTGACAAATTGGGGCTCTTTTCTTTGGAGCTCAGGAAGCTGAGAGGGGACACGGTGGAGGTACTGTATATATGATTGTCTGCTATACCGTCACCTGAGGAACAAGACATTTAGTTTAACCCAACCTCAAAACAGCAGCTCCAACGCAGCAGTGTTTCTCGCTGTGCAATGTCGGCCTAGACTGACGTCCAGTCCTGTCGTGGGGCTTCGGATCGACAGGTTCGAAATATCAAATGAGCTCTGGTTAACTACAGCCCCATTAAACAGACACCAGAGCAGGAGCACGTCACTGGAGCTGCAATTACCAGCCTCCAGCTGTTGTTGTTGTAGTCACCATGTTGATGCCTGTCTGCACAGCAGTCAGTCTCTGAATGCCAGAAGCACTATTAGCAGAACAGCATCAATCTCTGTCTCTACGGTTACAAACACACGTGCACACACGGTCTCAGTTACTGCACCAGGTCTGCAGTTGATAAGGATATTTACTGAACAAACCATGGGCCCTAAATCACGTGTGAACAAAGCATAAACTAGTCATTCGTCTGCCCCCCTTCGACTGAGAAAGAAGCATCACACAAGTAACAGCGAGTTTGTATTTTGAAGAGCACATGCAGCCGTCGGGACTGGTATTAAACCGCGCAACACTTACCTTATTCTCGCTAAGTCTTTGATGCCTGTCAAATATGTGACCAGAGTTGTAAAGAGCATAGACTCTGGTGAGGCTGCTCACTGCCAGCAGGGGCTGATCACAGTGGGAGTCGGCGGGTAGACCAGGGCCACGTTCACACGCTCGCTCCCGTTCTTGGGACAGATGATCTCAGTGATCCCTTCAGGCCTGGCCTGGCTCAGCAGCTCCCCTGTTCAGAGAGAGAGAGAGAGAGACAGACATTAGGTCTACGGCAGGGCATTCGGTTCAAAGCGTTTCTAAATCAGAGACCCATACTTTGACTGGAGTTAGGAAGACGAGCAGCAGTGCTATTTCCATTCTGGGGGATATAACACGTTAAGTTACATCAGATAATCCGCGTCAGTCAGGAATGGGACGTCTCTCACCTCTGGCTCAGAAGGTTGTTTGACTTGATAAAATGTTAGATCAAACCACGTTTTATTATAAAGCAGTAAAGCTATATCAAAGGCAGTGATTATTATTATTATTAGAAGGAAGACATAGCAGAGTCTGGTTATAATGCAATGGTTGAGATAAGTAGGCACAACGGCCAGTGTCACGACACATGCGCGGGCGGAGTCACCGTTCACACCACGCACACACTGGCTACTGAACTAAAGGGAACATGTGCCCCTCCCTGGACACCAGGTTGTCATTAACATCATTTCCTGTTTGCTGCGCACGCACAAAGCAGGAAATGACATCAACTAAAGGATTGACCATCTATTTTATACGTTTGCAATACAGAGGCTTAAAACAACAACAACTGACATTTGTGCAGCGCCTTTCACGTCAGGAGGACATCTCAAGGTGCTGGACAGTCAGGGATTTGGACCCGAGCGGGGGGGGGGATCAGTGACGGTGGAGGGCAGGAGGGTGGCCAAAGGCGCGGTTGAAGAGGAGGGTCTTGAGACGTGCTTTGAGGAGGCGAGAGAGCAAAAAAAAATCACTATACCTAATAGCAATCACCATGAAGTTCTTTGAGACATTTCAACGTGATAAGGAGTGCTATACAAAAATGCAAGGATTATTATTATTAGATACAAAGTGAAACGCTATTACTGGCGTACAAACAGTTCAGGATCAGAAAACAGAAATACTATAGTGTGGCAACTGATGAAATCTCTCATCAAACCCCATTTCTCTTCCCACCTCGTGGAGCCACACAGATAGCAACTTGAGTTAGTTAATCTCAGCCAGAGCTGTAGTTGGCTATAATTGGCCTCGGATAAGTCAGTCCTCACGGCATTGAGCCGTGCCTCAAAATTGTATGGATTTTGAGTGAGGGAAGGAATGCACTATGAAGGTCTCATGGTAATATAATAGGCCAATACTCAATATCAAGGCTCTCACAGCAGAAGAAAGGTTAAGGAGCTCATTGAGTTGAACCTCACGAGAAGTGAAAGGGGCCAAATCCTATCCCATTGGGGGAGAGGAGGGGGTGGGGAGGGGGAAAAAGGAAGATTAATAGAGAAAAAGACAAAAAAAAGTCAGAGTCATTCAGGAAATGGGCTGGGACTGAATGAAGGGTTAATGATAATATAATAACAATATAATAATTCTTATACTTTCCAATAATGGCACCTTTCACCTCAGGAGGACACCTTAAACCGCTTCACAGGATATACTGTAAAGTGGATTGACTGCATTTTGTAAGCTAACTGCGGCAGCCAATTTGCACACAGCAGTGTCCCACATTCAGTTGTGGATTGAATGACCAAATTATTATTGGTAGTTTTTTTATTAGCCCCATAAAAGTAATTTGCTAAACGCTTAACAACCAGGTTCCTATTTACTGCTGGGTAAACAGAGGCGTGTGGAGTAAGGAAACTTGCCCAACATTACTCCCTGCCGGGAACTGAACCCAGGCCTTCTCGCTTGCGAGGCGAGTGCTCTAACCACTGAGCTACAGGACTCCACTTAGACCCATCTTCTCCACATAGACTCTTCTTCTCCACAGATTGGAGAAGATGGGTCTATCTTCACTGGAACAGAGAGGGTTAAGAAGGATCTTATAGGAGTGTACAACTTTATGAGGGATTTTGATACGGTAAATAGAGAGAAGCTATTTCCACTGGTCCTACTGAGTAAGGCTGCCACACAATTCCAAGCTCTCAGAGGTCTCCCATCTCTTCCTCTCTCTACTGCACAGTGAAACAACTTCCTTATATCTCAACTTCCTTTCTGACCCAACACACAAACGTGCAATCCACCCACACTCATTTAATCAGCACACGGTAAACAAGATCTCTGCACAACTCGGGACAAAAACAATGTTGTTTGTAAGATCACAGAGGATAATAATATTGCTTACGATTGGCATAGTGCCTTTCGCGTCAAGAAGACGTCTCAACGTGCTTCCCAGGAGTCGTGGTAAAGTGTAGTGATCGTTTATTTTGTGTCGAGTGTAGTAAAGTGGAGCGATCATCTGTTTTGCAGACAACAATATTTCTGTAGGATATTTATTTTAGACATCGTAGAGAACTCAAAGGTACTCACTTAACAGAAGAGTACAAAATCTCTAAACTGCAGTGGTGCCAGGTATTATAAGCTGCCCACTTATTGTAATGATTTTGCAAATGAGCTTCAATTGAAATATTTCCTGGCAGAAATCATCATCCCACAGGACAGCAATGCTGTTATCAGAGCTTCCTGTACTCAGCCTTGATCAGGACAGCACAAGGCTCCATCCAGCCTGAGACCGTCTTGACAAATCCCAGGATCATTGCTTGGCCGCGACAGGAAGAAAATATTTAAGGGAGAAGTTAATCATTCTGCAGCTACAATATGCCGTTATATTCTCCCCCCACCCCGCCCCTTCTCCTCGAGACAAGCTGCAACGTACGTAAAACCATTCCTGGAGGAATTCTGTTGCGTACGAAATTCTACAGCATTAATAACAACGGAGGTTCAGTTTGAGCTATTTAGTTAAAATGCAAACACACGTCAAAAAGATTAGTGTGGCTGCGTGAGCTGGTGGACTGGCTTCCCGAAAGGGCTCAGGTTGCTAATGTAAAATCACAGGGACCCTCGGGAAATTTCCTGAATTCCCGTATAGCCAGTCCGCCCGCCGCTGGCTGTCTGTCAAGACAAGGGTTAGGTTAGAACAGTCATATGTAAATTCTCTGGAGCTATGAATTCTGCACCCGCAGCCCTGCATCTGGGTTCCCTCTCACTACAGCCATATCTAGAGCACAGTAAATAGTCACATCTTGCTCAGACTCTCCAGTCGGGGCATCCTATTTGCTGGGGATAAGAGCAGCAGAGAAGTGCTTTCCTTTCTTGTTTCAAGATCAAATTCTGTCATCTTTGCATTCCTATATTTATAGCACCAAATATTTTCCAGAATAGACGTTGGCCACTTTTAAAGTAAATACGAGGAGGTGTCAGGAGTACAACAATATCATGGTCTGTGCTTCACCATATGCTGGGGCTCAGTGACCGGACTTTCGTTGTGGGGTACCCTGTCAAATCCTCTCCCTCATTGGGTGGCGACTGTACGAACAGACTCTGCCAGACATCAGGTACTTGAGGCCTTTACAAACACACACAAGTCACAACCGTCTTCGTGTATAATTTTTAAAAAAATGAATGTTTCCAATCATTTTCTATTTTTTCTCTCCATCGTCATATGTCTCTGCTCCAGGTTTCCTGCCACCTAATACTGGGGTGGGTTCCCCAGGTGCTGGTTACCCTCTGGTAGCCCACTCAAGTTGGATTTCTGACACACATGGAAGGGGTGAGCGGATCTCTTTGGAACTCAGCTGCCTCCAAGGAGCCTCTGTTTTACCTGCTCACCTAAGGAGTTCATTTAACATCCAACATGCACATGTTTGAGCAGTCACTAGGTAGACAGCAGATTTCCACACTCAATAGGCTGCAATCCCTGACTACATCCCACCCACTGAGTGGCAATTCCACAAGTTGGGAGTTGCGGAGCTCGAGCAGTAGCTGCTGCCTCTAGATACCAAGCCCCCGATATCTGAACATGTTCATTACCCTGCACTCCAGGTAACACCTTCCAGCAGCTGTTGCCCCAAGCTTCAGAGTTTCCTCATCAACTATCTGGCGGGCATCTGCCTTCAGTGTAGTGGGAGGACCTTTACAGGACAGCTTGTGACATGCCAGCCAAGTCGAACTCAGCACCAGCTGCTTCATCCAGGTCCTCATCCGAGGGGCCTTAGCAAATAGACATGCCCACTGTGAAGCCACCTCTTTAACACTTAAATGTTGTACTGATCCCAACCGCCAGTTCGGGTGCCGATCCCTGACTGTCCATCACTTTGGGATGTCCTTCTGACATTAATGGCGCTATACAAATGTAATTTGTTGTTGTTGTTGTTGTGTAAGCCAAAAAGCAACAAAACCATTAGCCATTAAATCTCTAATGTATGTATATTTGGAGGCAAACTCGGCAGCCAATCTGGCATAGCAAGTTCTCACACGTGGTCAGGAATTTATCAGCTGGAGCACTGTCATCAGAACACCAGGAGAAATTCCTTTCTCTTTTCCAATAATTTCATGAGATCTTTAATGCTCACCTGAAACACATAGACTGTCTAGGTTCGCCTGACCCAGAAAAATGTCACCTCTGAGTATGCAATGTCCTCCCAGGACTGCACTGGAGATCCTGCCGGGGTTGTAAATATAATTTTATCCCATTATAAGTACACATGAGAGCAACGACATGTAGAGTAGTCCACCCCTTGTCTGACTCCCCAGACAAGATCAACAGCAGTTGCATGGAGAAAGCGAGATGTCACTTGTAACTAACTCACTGTACAACCAGACACTATGTAGAGTGCTTGTATTCACAGCTCCGCACATGTTTAATGTGTAGAAACTAATAGCACTCTCTAGGGTTTCTCAGACAGACCAGCTCTTCTTCTCTGGATTCTTAAGGTTTGAAATATCTCACAGTCTTACCATTAGGACATCGTATTTAAATTTAGACGAATTATTGTGGTTTGATAAATGCTTAAATTCATGTCAGTTATTTTTAAAAACTGCTACCAAATGAAGATATTTCTAAAATTCTAAACAATCTTAATTTTTAGAACGTGGTCTTAAGAGTAAGCCAATGAGATATTGCGGGTCTCTGTTTTTTCTGTGAACAGATAAAACCACTTCTTTAAACACTGTCTAGGCAATTGACAAAGTAAACACGCTCAAACCACGGACATCAGCAAG